GGGACCACGTGATCTCCAGCTCTTCCCTTAAGTTAAACTGACCATGGAAGGTAAATGTTTTCAATGAATTCAGGACACTGAGGCAGCCAAGACAGCATGACTAAAAACCCTCACAGAGAGGATTCCAGACCTGCTTCAGAAAGTGGTAAGAATGATGGGATAAGTGTGTTTGAAGTAAGGGGAGAAGTTTGAGGGGATTGAATGGTAATGTGTCTTTAAATTTAAACACTCATTTACCCCATTTTTAAAATCACCCCCCTTGTAATCTTTGGAAAATATATGTGCCCTATTTGTCTTTAAAGGTGTGTGTGTGTGTGTGTGTGTGTGTGTGTGTGTAGGATTAAGTTAATGTGGCAGGCAAGATGGGTTTTAATAGGAAATCAAGTGTTTGAATAATTTTAAACAGGAGAATAATAAAAATTTATCTACATTTGGCTACATGGTAAGTTCTGCAAATGCCTTCATCATTTTATTCTTCCATTAATTTAGCAAACATTCTATAAGAGTATGTGTTTTGTACACCACCCGATCTAGAGGTACAGATGATACTCAGAGAGATAAAATTGTAATCTTTAAGAGGTTAGAATATTTTGGTCACATTGCTATTGACATTTGCCACATAATACTGAGCTAAGGTGGAGGGTTTGCCTGGAAGGTAAGAGAATGCATATTTAGCAAGGCTTTGATACACTCCTGGCATAATCTCCTTATAGACGACCGGAAAGTGACTCTCCTTTCCTCTCACTTAGCAAAAACCTTCTGCACCTGGAACCTGGCTTTGCTAGGCCCTGTCTATTCCTCCTAGACTTCTGGATGGGGCGGTGGAGCCTGTCTCAGGTTGAACCTGGTACCAGGTGAGTGTTTTCCCTTAGAGCATCACCAATTCCCACAGTTCATTCTGCCCCTGTCTGACCTGCTTGATAAAACATTATTCTCCCAGAATCATTTGGCTTTCACCAACTAGCTTTGTTTCTTGGCTCTCTGGGCTACTATTTCTAAAAGCAGAGTTGATGCATTATATACCTGAAAATTTTGGGGTAGTAAATGAAAAGCTCAATGTGGATTTAAGGGTTAAGCCAAAGACAGGAAGGAATTACCCTTTAAGGTAGTAGTAGAGAGCAGAAGCGGGCTCTTCTGTGAGACCTTGAGCACATTATACCAGCTCTTTGAGATTCACATTTCTTAATATGGGAATAATAATATTGTCTGTCTCTTTGGGTTTGAATGAGAATTAACAGGGAAAAGTGCTTATGAAAGTATTTAGCACATAGTAGGAATTTAACAAATGCAAATATAACAAGTGAGATGAGTGTGTATGCAAGATGTTTGCTAACAGGATCACAATTATTCTTCCCTTGGGCATTTTCACATGTTCTATAGACCTCACCCTTTTCGCTAGTATTATTTCTTTTTTTTTTTGGTACCAGAGACCGAACTCAGGACCTTGTGCTTGCAAGACAGGTGCGGTGCCACTGAGCTAAATCCCTGGCTGGCTTGTATGATTTCTAAACATGTATTTTATTAAACATATTTTATTGATGGCTGTGGAACCAAACACCAGATAATTGTTAAGGTAATTTTTCTGTTGTCTAGCAACCATATAGACTTTTTTCTCTCAGCAACTTCCCTAAGGTTACTGTCTAGAGTTACTGTTCATATTGACCATAAAATGGAGGCAAGTGAAAAACAGCAGCTCAACCACTATTTTGGGTTCTGGTGTTCAAGAGAAACTTGCTTGGTTTATACATTCAGGGAATTGTTTTAATTGACCACTTCTGCTCGCTTTGTGTGATCCGTGGTTACCAAATGTGGAGGACCATCAGAGTCAGATGAGGAACCTTTGAAAACTGTCTAGACTTCTTGACTTCCAGGAGATTCTTCAGCAAATCTGGGGTTGAGAATTTGTACCCAAGCTTTCTAGGTATTTCTAATGTTCCTTCATGTTTGGAAACTGTAGACACAGGTCTGTGTTGCCCATGATTCATCTCTACTGAAGACGCAATGATTTGGGAACAGCAGAGAGAGTGTTAAATACTGAGAAAATTCCTGACTGCCAGTGCCTAAACAACTTCTATTTATAGTAAGTTTGTTTTCTTTCTGCTTAAGATACATATTTGTGAGTATTCAAGAAGAGAAAATATATTTTTATTATCCAAATCAAAACACAGCATGAGGTACTTTCCAATAAATCAGCTATTATACACAGTCCAAAGTCACCTGCTATTTATTCAGTTGAAATCCTTCTAGGCACCAGGAAAAAAGTTTCATTTAAGATTTTAATCTTTCTATATATTACAGGGCTTCTGTAGTAGAATTTGTGCCTCTGAAACTAAAAGATTGACAGGTCTGGATATTAGAGATTTATTAACCATTGGTTAAATGGTCAAAGTTATCTTCTCTGCATTTTCCCTTAGTCTGGACTGGAATGAAAAATTTCTACAAGGCTTGAGGTAGGGAAGCAAAAGTTATATTATGCAAGCAAAAGTTATGTTTTATTCCACTATACTTTTCCCAATGAAAACATTATGCATTCAACATAAAAATGTGATGTTGAACTCAAAGAAAAAAATGACATGATGCTGGGAAATTGGAAAGAAATCTGAGAAATTTACTAACCCTATCCTTCAGTAAGTGGTTTTGTCATATTGAAAGGTTGGAACAAATACATTTTTTAAAAAGAAATAAGGTAAAAATTATTTTTTTAAAAATATATCAGACTATTATACAAAAATAAGTAATGTATGACAATTACATATATTATTATTTACACATAGATACTTTTCTTATCTCAAAAATGAACACCTGAGTTTTTAAAGGTCACCTAACAGGTGGCAGTGCTGGGATATGAACCATGGTTTTCTTGTCTGTCTTACTTTAGAACTTTGTCTGGAAAGAAAAGAATTTTCAAATCTATACGAAGTGTGAACTCTTCAGAATGAAAAGGCAATTTGTATTTGAATTATGTTTAAATGGTGGTGACTGGATAAATTGCAGGACTTCCTAGGCACATGGCTGAAAAAACATCAACTTTGCTTATCGTGTTGGATTTCCCCTTATTGTTCTTTGAGAATTTGCAGTGTAGAGATCTTGGTGTGAATGGGGTAGCTTCTCCAGTGTAGGCTGAATCTGGTTTCAAAGTGGCTTTATCCAGTCTCATTTTATTTTGAGGTGCTAAAACCCAACATTACTATAAAACTGCCAATAACAAAATGCTAGAAGGGTGCAGGATACCAGTGCTGTCCAGAGAAAAGTGAAATCAGTTCTCCTATGAGGGATTACATTTGTAAGTTTCTCATGGTAGAATTTTTGTCTTTTTTGCTATTGAAATTAAGAGATTTCATTAATATCTATGCTCCTAAAACTTACATACATGATAGTTCTTAATGACACATGCCTCCCTTATTAATTCTTCCTTTATGTTTTGTTTAGTTGAGTATGCTTTGTATTTTTTTTTTTTGGTACCAGGGATCAAATTTGTATTTATTTTTAAGGTATGTAGAATCATTTGTATTTAATACCTTAGAGTAACTTAAGCTTTTCTTTGTTTATACATCTCTTGGTGGATTTTTCCCTGTGAATTTGAGCAAGATCCTTTCTCTCTGGTCTTAGATTGTGACATCAGAAGCATGTTGGTTTATGAGAATTTGTGTTTTATACATTGACTTTATATTATTTTTGACTTTATTACCTGCTTTAACTTATTTATTGTTTACTTCAATGAAAAATATTTTTCCTAATTATTTTGTGGAATGAATCTGCTGATGGGCAAAATGGCTAATTGTTCTTACTGTTATGTTGAACTGTGGCTATCTGCTCTGATGGGAGCAATATGGGTTTATTCTCATTTTGCAGGAGTCTTCGATCTTGATTATGCCCAAAGCAGGGTGTAAGCAGTGCAGGCTGTAAAGAGTTAACCCCACAACTGGCTTGTTTTGAGAAATGAGTCCAACAGAAGCCTCCGTGCCGAGGTGAGAGTAATTCACACCCAAATTCCATTCCTACAACTAAAACCTTCTTACTAGAAGGACAATGTTCTAATTACCACCATATATTTTGTCTATTCTGTTCCTAATTCAAAAGTGCTTTGTCTTGTCCTTTATGAGCCTTGTTTACATTAATTTCCATAGAAACCACACAACTGCACATCCTTGCACATAGTTCTGCCCTTGTATGTAGCTTGCCTTTATCCCAATTGATAACCAATAAAAATCAGTGGCTTGGACTGGCCAGTGCCTTTGTTGTTTGCATTGGAATTGGTTGTCCTGGCGCCCCACTTTCTGTCTCTCTTAGTTTTGTCTTTTAGTTTTTTTTACTCAGTTGTACACTGAGTAGGAGACTAGAGCCTACTGCACAGTTTCCAGTAATGTTTCAGGGGTCCCCAGTACCATTTCATATTAAGACTAGACATTCAAAACCATCCACATATTTTGACATGCATTTAACACTTTAACAGGTTTTAAATTTTATCCAGAAATCAGCCTTTCCATTTGTGCTTTATGCTAAAAGATAGAAAAAGAAGATTTCACTCTACTCTTTACTCCACAGTACTGATGCAAGCAAGAGTTTACATGAGGATGATGCCCACATCAAAAATTATAATGCATTAAATCACAAAAGCAACTCAATAGTGACTAATAACTCAGTGGAGACCACAAAGCATAGAGGCAAAATTCAACAACCATAACCAATCACAATTTAAGTATATAGGCAGAGTGGGCCTCTGTCTGTCTAAATTCACAAACCACTGATAGATTATAGGGAGATTGCTACAATGCCAGTGATCTAATCTAAGGAATCCTGTAGACTTTATTTGCTCAGGAGTATGGTTTGGATTATTCTGTTCATCTACCCAGGAGATACATGATATCCATCCTTGTTTTCAATTAATTTTCTTCCACACAAATGAGGGGCGGGGAAAGAGAGAGAGAGAGAGAGAGAGAGAGAGAGAGAGAGAGAGAGAGAGAGAGAGAGAGAGAGAGAGAGAGATTTCATTTCTTTACCTGGTGGTGTCCAAGCAACAAATATGGAATAAGGTCCAACTACTGTGACATTATACGGAGGATGGATTTCTTCTGGTGTCCACAGAGGTGTTTGGACAATGTAACCATCACTAGTCCTGCTGCCACCTCCAGTTTTAGCTTCTAACTTATAAATGTATCTAAACAAAGAAGAATTTTAATAAGCCAGTGGACAAGAGAGGCAGACAATGATTGCTGACTTTTCTATCCAGTGTTTTATCTGAAATTTGTGACAAATGGGAAATTCTTTGCTCCTTGTCCAGAGAGCTTGGCAAAGGCCTGGAAATTTTTCTAGCACAGGTAGCATTTTCTCCAGGTCATAACTACTTCTGCCACCTCCCACTTTATACTTTTGACTTTCTAATAATTCATAACTTTTCCTGAAGATCACAGGAAAGTCTCGGAGTATGCTGCTGGATTGTGGAAGATTCAAATTACTCTTCCTTATTTTTAAATGGGTTTAAGTTCAGGTAATATGTTTAGAGGGAAAGGTTTTTAAATTGATCTATTATTCTCTACAATAAAACTAAATTGTGCTCTGTGCTCTACAATAAAACATCTGTTAATGTAAGGTATATTTCGTCTCTGCTGAGAAATGAATGAGAATGAATCACAAATATGTAGAACTTTCCTCTCCTAAAACTATATATGTCTATATCTAGTGTAGCAAGTAAAGAAAACATAAGAGTAGAAAAGGTAGTTGATGTAAAACAAAACTCTGAATCTCTTTTGTTGCTATGTACAAATGCATTTTTAAAGTAATTTGGTAATTTTTAAAGTTTAATACTGTGACTACCTTTGCTTTGACTCTTTGAGTATTTTGTTTATTTAAAAATTCTTATGCTTTCATGTCAAGCAGAAGACTAACCAGTTTGTATTTTACAGGAATCTCAGTCTGAAAACTAATTTACTGATTTAGTACTTGCCCTAGTTACAGTATGACTAATGAATGAAGAGATTAATCAATAACAATAACAGTGAAATGTATTCTTCTCAAAACTTGAAAAATTAAAAAAAATCCTCCTGTATGACCAGTAACACTTTCATTTAGTTACCTGGTATTGGGCTCCAGGTGTTTGTCAGTGAAATTCTGTTCCTCACTGCCACCCAGGAAAAGCACAGTTCCGTTCCGACTCAACTGATACTGAGAAATAAGACCATTGGGTTTCTCTGGTGGACTCCAGTACAATTCCAGCGATGTTGAACTGATGATAGTGTGTCGAGCTGTCACCCAGACCCCTGGAAAAATAGCACCATGGAGCATTATTGGAAGGATAAAATAAATAATCAAAAGCCATGCCATCCCCTCACCAGTCATGATGTTTTTATCTGTGGATTACAAGAAATCTCACCATGAGTGACAAATACATTTACTTTGGAGATGAAATATATAACTGAGCAGAAAATACATTTTTCTTATTGTTTATTTTATTTTTGAATATCACACCAGTAGCAGTAGAAAGTTTCTCCATCTTGGCTGTCATTCTAAGTATAATTTAATCAAGGCCTGAGAGGCTACACAGGCATTTTAAACTTTGATACTGTTTACCTCGACGACATGGAAGACAGCATCATCCAGTATTTACCTGAATTATACAATTTGACAGATAAGAATCTCCCCCTACTCTCATACCTGTGCTGTGCTTGCTCTCCTTCTTTTTCTCAAATTACCCGTCTGGGCTCTTCGACTGGTTCTTCTCCCTCCTCCACACGCACCTTAAAATAATGCAGGGCCTCAGAGCCCTAGCGTCTTTCTGCTCCCCACCCTCTTCCTCTCTTCTTTTCCTTTCTTTTCTTCTTCTCCAGCACTCACTTCCTACATGATATCTGCTCAGTCTTAAGTTTTGAATATCATCTTTATGTGAACCATTTCCAAATGTGTATCTGTAGACTGATTCTCTTCTGAGCTTCAGACTCATGAATCCAATTGTTTGTTTGACTCACTCCTTTGAATGACTACTTACACATCATTAAACGGGACTGTTGGTTTTTCTGTCTACCGTCTATTTATCTCCTAATCTTGTCCATCTATTTATTTTATTGGACAGAACACTGAGAGAATTATCACTTTCTTTGCCTCCAAATCATCCAGCCCTACAAATTCTACATAGTTTCTACATCTTCGCTGCCACCCTGTTCAGTCCAAACCACAGTTCTCCCTTTTTCTCTTGGCACAGCCTTTGACCTGACCTCCATGTTTTCAACCTTGGTCTTCTTTGTACCACTGGAATCTTTCTGAATGTGTGTAAAGTGTTTGTGTAAGCCAGTGTAATCTTTATAAAATATCTAAGCCTTAGGAATTTATTTATACAATATGATCCCAATTCCTACAATGAACAGTTTGGCCCCATATTTCTCTGGCTCTGGCATCATTGTCTCTATCATTTAGGAACCTCCAACCATACCAGAATCCTTTTAACCTGCAGAATGTTTTAAGTTCTCTCCTACCTCTGGGTGTTTGCACTTTCATTCTCTCTGCCTGGAATACTGGTGCTCCTGGTGCCATGATATTTTGAGCTTTATTCTCATATTTCAGTTATCTGTGTAAATATCACCTTATTAGTAAGTACTTCTTTGACCTTCCTTCCCTAGCTCCAATCCTATCGAATGGGATCCCAACTTCATTTTTCTCTACCACATGCTTCTATTTCCAGTTTAACACTCAGAACACCAAAATCATTGTCTTTCTTTGATATATAATTATTTTTATTTTGTTTCAGCTGGGCCGTCCGCTCCTTTCTCTTGCTTCAAAGTAAAGTTAGTTCCATGGAACCAAGGATACTCTGTTTTGTTTGTGAGTGTGTGTCTATTAATAGCGTGGTGCCTAATAAATATTGTGGCAGGGGAGAGTGTCAACGTGATTGGCTTTGGTGTCCTCCCAGGGATTGCTGGAGCACAATTTTTGGTGTGTCTAGCTGAGTCATGAAGGCTGTGTCTGTTATTTCCCCTCTCCTCTCTGGTACTGTTCCTCTTCTCTGCTTCCCAGTTGTTGAGAACTAATAATCTTTGCTCTACCATCCCCTTTGACTATGACGTTCTGCCTTAGAGACAGATTACCATGGACTTAATCCCCTTAAAACATAAAGTAAATTAAGCTTCTCCTTTAAGTTGTGGATGTCCTGTCATGTGTGCAGCAACAGGAAATGTGATTGGTACTTGAAAAATAGTGTTGTTGCTGTGACTACAACTGACCATGTGGTTTAGAAGCTTTTGGAACTGGTTTTTGGGACAAGTTTGGAAAGGTTTGGAGATGTGGACTAGAGAAGCTTTAGAATGCAGTAAGCAGAGATTGGTGGGTGATTCTGGTGAGAGCTCAGAAGACAAGAATGCTGATAGGAATGTGGACAGTAAAGGCTAGGTTCAGAAGGTTTTAACTAGGAGCAAGAACACCAGTGGAAGTTGAACTGGAGGCCACATCTGTTACACTGTCACAAAAATTTTGTGTACATTTTTTCTATGTGTTGAGAATTTGCAGGTAAGGGCACTGAACTAATTAAGGGAAAATCAAACCTCTCCATCTTTAATTTGTGGCTTTCTGGTATTGTGTCCAGCAACAAGAACACTGACTAATACAAATATTAAATGAATAAATTTAATGCACACTACCTTCAGCAAAATACCACATTAGCTTGTAGCAGTTGTAGGGAATACAAAGATGATTAAGATGTGCTAATTATTTCAAGGAATTTACCCTTCAGTGTAAAAGATAAAATATACACACAACCATATTTCAAGGTCAAACATATAAGAGTACTTACTCTTATAGATGTACAAACCTACTGATGAAGAATCTGCCTTGAGAAATATCAATCCTACCACTTTATGTTGTCACCTAGCTATGTTCTAAGTAAACAAGGTAACTGTCTTATGGAATTAAAAAAATTCCTTTCATTATATTAGGTTCCCTGTAATCAATAGCTTTGGGATGATTGTATCTCCCGTGTAAGTTACTTTGTAAAGGGTAAAATTTTGACATTTTTAGGAGATAAATTTTCAGAACATTCAAACACAATTTATGTAGCAGCATCCTACAAAAATTTTAGTTCTCAATATGCCTCAAGCATACTGACTTTCTAAGGATCATCTTATTCTCTAGAAGAAAGTGGCCCATTTTGTTCTCAGCACTTGCTCTGTGCTAGATATTTGGAAAAAATCCACAAATCATGATACACATTTATGTCTCAGATTCTCTGCCAATAGCTGTTAGGTGGCTCAACCCTTCACTGTGAGTCCTGATTTAAACATGATATTAATTTGTTGATTCAAGAGATAAAGTATAAAGGTTTAATTTATTGTCTTTTCATAGTCATATCTTTCCCACCTTAGGGATGTATTAAAAATCACTAAGGTACTAAAAAAGCTGATGCTTAGTTTTTGATTTGAACATGTCAATGTAATGAAATAGAATTTCAGGTTTGTTTCACATTTTATATAAAATTTTTATATAAGCAAAAGTTAAGTTTGGTATTCATACAAGTTCATGAATGCTCTGTTGAAGTTGGTAATAGCCCTGTGTCCACTGGCTTGATTGATAAGATGAAGTTCAAACATGTAAATAACTGGTAAGCACTGTGTTTTTATTTTCATAATGATATGGGACACTGTTATTTTAACAGTTGCAATAAATATTTGATAGAGTGTGATTCACCTTTGTGGAGATGTCTTAGTGAGTCCCAAGTGGAGAATTTGTGTTTTTGTCTCCCGTACCCCAAAGTCCAAGTAGTACCAGAAAAGCCAACGCTGTGTAACAGAGGGGCAAAACTGAGGCAGTTCAAAGACAGAAGTGATGGTAGCAAGGGAAATGACCTGGCAGAATGGGGCAGGGAAACTAGCTGAAAGGTACAGGGTTAAAGCTCACGAGGCAAACATGGACGCGTCTTTTGATACAATGTCTTCAGAAAAAGAGCATGAATGCTGGGTTTGTTTTAAACTTATCTTGAGTTCCATGCAACATTACCCACTTCTTGTGCTCCTATAACTTTATTCCAATTAAAAAATTCAAGCATTTATTGTGGATTGGTTTTTTTCTAAAATCTGGTGCCGAGACTCAGTTTATGTTAACTCACATCAGGGGTGCTAGGTTGCTGGACTGTTCACCGTCGCTAGTTTATTCAGTCAACATTCTATCTGACTTTGTGTCATTTTCTTGGGCTCTGTGGATGTCAGGGAGAAAGATATCCTCCTTACCCTTGAAGGAGCTTGTATCATAAAACTGAACAAAGACGTGAAAATAAAAGGTTATAATCCAGCATGGTAATTCCCCTCAGCGGCCGAGGGAGCACTTAGGGTAGGTGACCTGAGACAGGCTGGGGTGTGACAGGGACAGGTGAAAAGAAGGTGGCCACAGTTATTTTAATAGTTGTTAAAATAATAGTGCCTCGTATCGCCGTGCAAATAAAAACACAGCACTTTCTAGTGGTCACATGGGTGGGAAGGTTTCTGGAAAGGGAGACCCAGGAGCCAGGTGTTGAGCACGAGTTAGCCGAGTGAGGGTGCAGGGCAGGGTGCCCAGGCTGAGGGGACCCAGCCTTAGTCAGAGAGGGATGGGTGGTCCCGGCCGGACTTGGGCTCCTCAGGGAGACTGCTGTGCTGCGTGGCAGTGGGCAAGCCCCACAGACTCCTTGGTTTGGCAGAGGTTAAATCCTGAGTCTATTTGCTTTACTAAAAAAGATACAGATTTATGTTTTTGTGGAAGAAAACAGGATGTTACGGAGGTGATTAATATGAGATATGCATTTTTTTGGCAAAGGAAGAAGAATTGGGATGGGAGATATGAGAAAGATGAAAAATGACCACAGGCAGGGCATCTAGTCAGGGTCCATTGAGGTCAGAAGAATCTGAATTAACACAGTGGCAGAGGGGATGGAAAGGAAGAAGGGATTTTAAAATAATCCTTCAGATTAATGGTTAGTAAGATTTTAGGAAGAATTACACAATATAATTGGAGGAGAAGGGAAGCATTGAGGCAGGGGCCACAGGGCAGGTGGCCAGTGGTACCTCTGAGAAGGACACAGGAAAAAAAGCAAACTGGGATGGGTTGGGCAGAGAGATTAAGTGCTAAAGCTATGAGGTTAATGTGTTTGAAAAACTCCTACATGTAACTTATCTAGCAGAGCATTGGGTACAAAGTCCTTAACCCATGAATGCAGCCTCCGGGAGCACTTTGGTGCATAGCAGCTCCCAGGCCTCCTCCGGGGAGAGAGCCAGGCCTTGGGAATTGCAGAAGAGAATGTGGTTATTTGAGCAAAGAGTAGAGGAGATGTCCAAGGCAGCATTAGTGGATAAAGAAGGACAGAAGAAGATGATTCTGGAGGGAAACTGAGGCAGGTTTGTTTCTTCCCCTGTTTGTTTTTGCCACTGTTGATTTTCTAGGGAAGCCTGCCTGCCAGTTTAGCATTATGTATCTTCAAAAGGTACCAGAGCTCACCAGGGTGGCAATGGTTCTAATAAAAGTGAGTAATAATCCAGTTCAAACTCTTCCCATTACAGTATTTGCCTAAAGGTAGACAATATTCTATGCAGATGAAATTGTAAGGAACTTTGTCCAACTTGTCATGAAGTCAAAATGTGTATTAACTTTTTTTCTAACTAAAAATGAGAAATGAGAAAAGTGCTCAGGGTGGACCTGAATGAATGCTTCTTTTAATCCTCTTCATACCCACTAAAGATTCTCAAATATCAGCCCTTCAAATGTGGCCTGATTTCCTTCAAACCTGGCATTTTACAATGAGTTATACCTGGGTTAATAATTTAAAACAATGTAACGTGTTTGCTTCTGCTTTGCAGTAAAACAACAGGACTTCACGTTATTGCTGATTTGTTCCCTTAAAACCCCCAAGTTAAGTATCCAGACTACATTTATTTCATACACACACTCTACATCCATTGCACTTATACAGCCAGGAAATAGATCAAAATTCACATTTCTCCTTCAGAGAGATGCTCATTTACTGGATTAAGTCTTTGCATAGTTGTTTCTGTTAAAGGAATGGTGCGTAAATTTGAGGACAACATTTCTCTTATCATTCTTCTGCATGGCTGAATGCTAGACTTTTTAAGCCATAAAATCTGAAGTCTTTTAAGAAATTTTATTAGAGGAAGTGGGAAAATAGGTTCCTATTTTCTTTAAAGAATTTAAACATATGAATTGATGAGTAAACAGGAACAAGAAACACTGTTATTTTATCAGGCTTGATTTTCAGCCAAAACTGGTTGATAGATCCTTTAGAAATTATCCATTATCATGAAAGTATCCATTTGATAGTTTACCTTTCCAAAAAATCCACTGCTGGTTTCTTCCTTTCAAAGGAACACTAAGCTTTTGACATGAAACATTCTTTATATAGAAAACATCATTAGTGAGTTCCTGGGGAGGAGCCATATGCCCCATATGTGGAATTTTCCATTTTATTCCCCATTTACTGGTAGGAAGTTCAAGTCTAATATTCTAAGGTACAATAATCCTTTTCACTAGAAGAGCAACGGACAAGTAGCTCAGGACTCTATTGTGCTAATGAACATTATATTTCTGTTTAGAATCTTGCTTGTGCCTCAGTTTCCCCACATGTAAAACAGGCAGACAATAAAGATTAACAAAATAATTAGATGATCTGTAACACGAGCTTCTAAGCACATTTACCTCCCAAAGTCAATGGTATCACCTATTCCAGTTCCAGCCCACAGGTAACCATGGATATCAGTTAGGCATAGACACTTTCAGAATTTTTTTATACATGTATTTATTTAGCATTAGAAATGAATGTTATTTCCTGTATTTATTTTTATACAAAATATATTAATATGGTTCCATGACTTATTTATATGTACAGATCACCTCATTCTTTCAAACTTGTGCGTGAAATTCCACAATGTGAGAATACTTGAGTTTATTTAGCAATTCCCCTACTCATGGATATTAAATTACTTCCCACCCCTTCATCATTAGGTCAAAAAAAAAATCTTCAACAGATATTCTGCTACCTGCTTCTTTGTCGATGTGGCATGGTTTCTGGCATAGATAATGAGAAAAGAACCACTGTGTCATGAGGAATTAGGAATTTAAATGTAATAGAAAGCAGGATTGTGCTCTCGAAGGTGACCGGGCCACTTTGCATCAACTGTGTGTCTTGTCCATTCATTGAAAGCCTTAATCCTTGTGGTCCCCTCAGAAGTCATCTGCTCCATAACACCTTTCCCGTGTCCACATGGGTTGTCATCCCTCCCAGATTAAGCTGTGTGTCCTGTTTGTTTCTCCCTAACACCACCTTCCAGCTAATCTCTTCTCTCATGTGCCTGGGTCATTATCCTGCTGTTCCTCCTATGGTTTGCTAAGTTCTTGAAGGCAGAGAGGATTTTAGCTAACTTTGGCAGTGAGCACGGTGCTGATTATAGATTAGAAATATCTGGAAATATATTTACCTTTTGAGTTTTTAAACAGCTTCCTGTCCAAACATGTAAGAATTCTTCCCCCAGAAAAGCAAATCTACAAGGCTTAAGGAATTGAAAGTAAACTCCCCTAGAGAGGTTGCTTACAGCTGAAGAATGGGAACTTAGCAGACCTGGTTGTTTTGTCCTTGTCTACTTACTTTATTCCTTTTGCTTGTTTGTTATCAGAAAGTTTAGAGGATTCACTTTAAAAGGCCATATGAAAACTTTTTCTCCCAAAACATGGATATTTTTCATTACCTTGCGGGGCTGCCTGCAGTGTGTGACCTAGAAAAGGCCGACTGGAAGTGCACCCAGCAGATGTACAGGCCGCAAGTGTGAAGCTGTAGCTGGTGTGTGGCTGCAGACCTAGACAGCACAAAGGAGAAACAAAGTGGACCGTGAGAGGAGTATTTATTACCGATTGAGCACCTGAAGGAACATGCGGAGTTGGAGATATGATATGAAAACCATTTAAACACTCTGTTCTTTGGGTGTTGGGATGGAACCCAGACCTCTGCAGGTTAGACAGACACTGGTCCACTGACCTACACCCCCAGGCTCCCAAAACTTTCTCTTTAATGATGGTGTGGACTTTATAAGCAGTTAAGCAATAATAGAATTTCATCTGTCACAGATAGAAAGAACAAATTCTTGGCCTTACAAAAGATCTTAGAATTTAGGTGATCCATCCACCCTACTACTGATTCCTCCTCCATAGATGTCATCCAGGAAGTTGATCTGCCTAAGCGACCCAAACAGTCCGTCCCATCTTTAAAGAGCTGTAACGTTCTCCTTGTTTGGTGTGAAAGCTCTTCCTTATATTGCAGAGAAATCATTTCCATCTTTGGGGACATATGGAACACATCTAATTTCTTTTCCACCTGACAGTTCTTCGAATTTTTGTAGACGTTTATCAAATCCCCCAAGTCTTCTCTTCTCCAGGCTCACCACCCCAGTTTCTGCAAATGCTTTTTGTATGAATAGGAGAGGAAAAGTTTAAAGGAGGTTAGATTCAACATCTTCTAGCCTCAAGCTATATTCAGGGAATATTAACACTAACACTTTTATTTTTCAACTTTACACCTCTTGTATATGTTGGGTTTACACACAGATTAAGGAAAAGAGGATGAGAGGATACTGCTCATCATTTCTTTTATATTTAGAATATGTTGCAGCACAGTAATTGCTCAATAAGTTATCAGGGAAAAAGAGTTACTTCATCCATTTACAACCCACGTTGTATATTGTTACATTTCATGACTCCTTGGCTGGTGACCTTGGACGAGTTACTTAACTTCTCTTTGCCTTGGTCTACTGGTCTGTAAAATGGGGAATCACTATAGCATGTAGCTTATATGAGAAGATGAAATGGGATACCCAGAGTAGTATTTTATATTTGCAGAAGCAACATTAAGACTTGGCAGCATTCAACAAAGACTATATTGAAACTTATAGACATTTCTTTGATTCTTAGGAGAGTTCAAATACCAAAGCTTTAAACATTTTTTTAGAAAAAATAATAATTCTGTGTAACTGCCAAATAATTATGCCAAACTATAGCACAGATACAATGATTATTATACATATTTTATATAAATTTGCAATGACATTTTCATTTATTTTGTTCTTTTGGTATATGTGTGTGGGGGGGTCCTCGACACATGTTCACATTACCTTGTCACTTCATGCAGAAGAAAATGCTACATTTTCAAAGATTTTGACCACTCTATCTAAATAACACGTGCATCCCTTTTTAATCTCTTGAAATGATTTTCTTCCTCAGCATATTCTGATTCAGCACCTATCTCTATTCACTGCTTCTCTTCCCTCCGACGCTGGAAGCTCTGGAAGAGGCCGGGACTGTGTCTGCCTACCACTGTATCCTTCACATTTGACAGGCACGGAGGAGGAGGTGGTTAAATGAGTGAGAAAATTAACGATCTGGTTTATTCAGAACAGGAGCGGTATCCAGGGTTCTCCAGGAAAACAACAGCATGCTGCAGTGGCTACACCGGGACAGAACTGCTGAGTCCTTTGTGTTTCCTTATCATCTTAGTGACAATCTACGGGTACTTACTTGATTATAATCTTCCATTTGGTTACTATGGAGGATTTACATAGTTTGATATTTACCTGATTTACAGATGGGGAATATGACTAAAGATCTAAGCCATACACAAGCCACATATGTTGGATAAAAGCTTATGGGAAAATGCTAAGATTACAGAATACAGAGCTCAGAAGGCGATGGAAGGGAACTTCCCAGGAAGGAAGCCAGAGGTGGCAGAGGCAAGCTGATTCAGCCCCAGTTTGGTCCTTTCACTCTCACTCTGCAAAAGGGGGTCCTGAGACTGTACAGATGCATCTGAATATCTCACTTCTCTGTTGGAAGGCAAGTGCTGTGGGAACCAGATGGCATTTTGAGTCTCTTTTTTGTCTTCTTCCTCTAGTACCTATTTTCGGGGGTGGTGGGAGTTACTGTTTAGAGTACAAGCCCACAGAAGATTTCTGTATGGACGGTGAAGCTGTGGGTCTAGGTGTCCATCAGCAGCATGGTTTGAGCATACAGGTCCTTTCTGAGAATCCCACGGCAATCCCTGCCCCAGCAGCTACTTCCCTGAGTCAGAGATTCTTCTCCAGGTGCAGGATATTAGCAAAACAGTAGCAAATGAATACAATCTGTACATGATAATTATTTTCTAGATTTTTTTCTGAACACCAGATGTAAGTATGGTTGGTAAAAGTGAAGAAACACTGTATTCTGGGGCAGTTTATCCTCAAGAACTTTTCCCTGAATACAAATTATGTCCATTCTCTTCCTCATTTTGTGTTCTGGCTAGTCTGGTTTCAGACAACAGTAGCTGCTGAAAAAAAACCTTCAGGATGGGTATTTGGGAGAGAAATCATCATCACAGAAGTATAGTAAGTATCGTAAGGTTAGTTAGAGAACTGGGGATATTTGTAACCAGGTTAGTAATTTAATACTTTATTATATTGATATTTTATGTTCCTGTTAACCTCACATTGTATAATATAATAAGAACCTCCTGACAAAACAGCAGGACCAGCGAGATGTCAAGTATGTCCTCCAAAAAGGCCAGGAGAGCAAAACACATGTGCTGTCAGTGTAAGCAATAGGTGTGTATGGAATGCACTGTTGTCATGTGTGAAGACCATTAGGTGTGATAATTGAAGTACAGATTTTTTTCTGTAGAGTGCTATTGGTATTTTCATCGAAGTTCAATAGGAATTTATTTCTGTTGTTCTTTTTTAGACTTTGTACACAAAATAGTCTATGTTGAAAATTTTGATGGTTTTTTATAAACACTCAATAAATATTAAAAATGTAATACTTTATTTTTGTGATTTTTTTCCTCTTAAGCACTCATCGTTTAATGTAGTAAAACTCATAAAATTAAAAGCAATGATTCCTCAACAGAAATATTCTAAAGAATGAATATGGGTGTAACACACCCATGTTTCTGTGACTTTATGACACAGAATGTGTCACACTTTGCAGGTTAAGAGAAACATTTATGTATACAAGAAGCAGAATTACAGATCTTTCTAAAGGGATTGGAGTGGCAACTTTCTCCTTAGTCCAGAGCACACAGATGCAGGTAGGTGTTCAGAGGTGGCCCAGCAGACAGAGCGTCTGAGCACTTAGGAGCTCTGGAGAGACTGAGAGAGGTGAGCTGAGGGAGTGAGAGGCAGGGGAGGCTCACATGGCAGTGTGGGGTTGGGGCTGATGGTAAGGACTGTGTTCCTCTTGAAGTTATGGAGCAGCAGAATTAAGGGGTGCAGAGAACTGGGCTTGGAGGAGAGAGCCTCAGCCCGGAAGTCAGAGGAGTTCAAACATATTGCCAGGCCCAGTGGAGGCCACAGCTGGAGGTATCACATTCCCCAATTTCAAGACACACTACAAAGCCACAGTGACGAAAAACAGCGTGGTGCTGGCATAAAAGACACCCAGGACAATGGAGCAGAGCCGAGATCATGGAAATACACTCATGCATCTATAGCCAAGTGATTCTTAACATTACATCGCCAAAATGTACATGAGGACAGTTTCTTCAGTAAATAGTGCGCAGAAAACTGGATATTAGTATGCAGAAGATTAGAATTGGATATCGATGAGGAATGACCAAAAATATTATGAATGTTTAAATTTAAAGAAATTATAGTAAAAGACACATTGCCATTGATGCCCCTCAAAATACTCTCTTTCACTTTAAGCACACTTATACCTCATTCTTGTGATCTTCTGAAGCAGCTCTGGAAATCTTCTCTTGTGTCTTTATGAGGTGTGATCAAGAATATGCTAAATGCTGCTGCCTCAGTCCATCCAACAGAAAGGAAGGCTCTTAAAAATCATTACAAGGTATCCTCGTCAATCGTATTCACTGGATCTGGCACCTGGTGATTCCTGGCTCTTCTCAAAAGTCAAAATGACCATTTTGAATGAATTTGGGACGTTGAAGCAGCTGTGACAACACAGCGAAGGATACTCATGAAAGAGGACTTCCAGAACTGCTCCAGAAAGTGGCAAGAATGATGGGATAAGTGAGTTCCAAGTGTTGGGAAGCATTTTGTGGGGGTTATTGGCAATGTATCTTTTACTGTAATACAAATATTTTAAAATTGAAACATCCGTTATATTTTTTGATCACATTTCATAATATACAGATATTCCCCATTTAAGAACCTATCTGTTTAATAACTGTTCAGACTTACCAAGACGTGCTGTTAGGACTTATGACCCACATTCAGACTTACAGTGCAGGAACATAAGCAACAGTGTAGCCTTATGGTGTCTTCTTCTATAGTGCAGTACTGTAATTTTTGCTGATTGTGCTGTACAGCACAGTGCTGTAGTTTTATGTGCTGTTATACATTATAGCACTGCAAGTAAGAGTGATGCGAATAAAGGCAAAGTCATCACGTTGGAGTTTCCTTTGACCATTTCTTTGTTCTGAATATTGTAATGCACATACTATATACAATTCCTCATTTAGCGACTAACTCATTAATGACTTTGTCTCAGGAATGGAACTTGGTTGTTGAACAAGGAACATCTTGTATCTGATCTGAATAGAGATTTCGCAAAAAAAATACAAATGGCTATCAAATACAAAACAAAACGCTTAATCTCATTAGTCATCAGGGAAATGCAAATAAAAACTAAAATGAGGTAACATTTCAGTCCAGTTAGAGTGGCTAACTCCCAAATAAATAAATAAATAAATAAATGCTGGTGAAGATGTGGAGAAAATGGAAACCTTATACATTGTTAGTGAAAATGTAAATTAGTACAACTGTTATGGAAAACAATATAAAGTCTCCTCCAAAAAACTGAAAGCAGAACG